TGCAGGCTTGAAAGTTATGTCCCACGCTTTCTGTTGCTGCACTTTCTATTCCTAAGTGTGGAAGAATGTAAAGAGATTTCCCAGACACATGTGAGAGATATTAAGAAACATAGAGGATCTGTGAGCACCTCCTGGAGAAAGCGAGAGAAGAAAATATATGATTCTAATGGGAAAATTTCAGGACATTGATGGATGGTATCACATAGCCTAGGCTTATCCTGGTATCTGGTCTTCAGGTATGCGTTCTGCCTGCACCAGGGTTAGATGTTGGGGCAAGACCTGGCATGTAAACCTCAGTGTGTGTGTGTGTGTGCGTGCATGCGTGTGCCCTGCTTTCATTTGGGACATGCAGGTAGGCAAGGAATCCAGTGCAGAATCTTATTTGGCCCCTTATCTGGGCCAATAGAGGAAAAGGACTGAGGGGAGAACTTGTGGATGTTTAGCAGTTTGTCTTTGTGGTGAGTTTCTCAGAAATAAGCCGTACTCCTGTGTATAATGTTTTCTCAACATGTCCTTTAAAGCTGAATTAATATTAGCCTTGTGCCTTGTCTGGGGTTGGTCCCATGAGATGATGCCATCTGACCTGTATCTGCTCCTCAAGATAATTTTTTTTTGTCTAGTAGGAAAACCTCATACTCAAGGGTATTATATATTGAATATTTCCTTCTAAAAAGTTCTCTCTTCCTATATTTTTTTTGTTCTAGCCCCACTCCATCAACCGTTATTTTGATAGCCTGGGGTGTGGTACCTGCTGTGGAATCATGTAGCCTCCTGGATAAAGGGTTCTGTAGTGCCACCTAGTGGCTAAATACAAGTACCGTGAATGTCCCCCCGGCACTTCTCAAGCTCCTGGTCCCTACTTGGTGAGGAAAAATAGGAATAAGGACAGAAACAAAACAAACAAGCAAACAACCTTAGATAAAAAGAAGCACCAATAAAATAAAATCTTCAGAAGACAGATGAGAAAGGGAATATGTGTGAAGTCAGGGATGAGCTAAGAGGATGTCACAGGCGTGAATATTTAATGTCTAGAAGTTCAGACAAAAGCTGTGAATGATGAAAAATTACTGCTGACCTAAAAATTTTCAGTTCATGCTTGTGAAACAGCAGAAAGAGAGAGGAGGAGGGACCCGAGAGCACCCTTGGCTTGGTGAAATGGGAGATTTTGGGGCTGACAAGGACAGTCTATGGTCTGCCCATGCTTTTGTAGGGACATAAGCTCTATCCATCCTTCCAACTCTGACTTCATGCTCCGTGAGGCACTGTAAGGTTTGCTGTTTGGGGCTTCCAGGCATATGGGAGCCCTTTCCAGGTGCACGCAAGGGGTTTGCTCCGTGCGTGTTACCTTTCCATGAATGCATGCAATGCCCATCAGCTCTGACAATTCAGGAAGGGGCTGCAGGATACCTGCAAAACCTGGGCCTGTCTGCAGGGCTGGATAACGCATAGTGGGCAAGTAATTTGGGACCGGATAGCACACAGCAGGCAAGTAAATCAGGCTTGAAATGTAGGTGTGTAAGAGCTGTGGTCACCTGGGTGAATCCAGCACAAGATGCACCAGCTCTGTGCACGGGTACAACAGAAATGAAACTGCTTCTCCTCTCGACTCCCACCACTGACCCCTGCCTTGCCTCTTCCCTGGGCTCCCCCTGTTAGGAGTCACTGCCTGCACCCCTGAGCATTGCTTTACACCACTGACATTAAGCTCTGCCTTAAATTCACGGCTAAATTCCAGCTGCTCCAGGTATTTCCTGCAGAAGATGTGTCATCTCCACCTCGCCATTGGAGGTGACCACTGTGTAGTCCTTGCCTGCTCCCTTAATTCTCTGGGAAGTGGAACTGGGGAAGGAAGCGAGTGATGTACCCTAAAGAGAGGGCCTACAGCAAAGCCAGGTGCTGGGAAAGACAAGAGGTGCCACTCTCCTGCTCAGGGCAGCGATGTGACAGCTCTCACCTGGGCCAAGTGCTGCTCATCTGGCCCTTAGAGTGCAGTTGCTTGCCTCTTTTGTGCCTGCCTCTCTGCTGGCATCTGCTGGGAGCCTGACAACCACAGGAGGGCGAAGGCAAAGGGCGAGTATGCTGAACAATCACAAAAATTCAGGTATTTCTGTGGCTGTTTCCACCTCTCCGTGGCCTGCATTGAAACTAGTGGCTGCTATGTACAAGGAAGATGTGCGTATCCCAGGCTCAGGAGGGTTAACAGGGACAGCATGGGTTTTGTCCTTCACAAGCTGTTGGGAGCTGCTCTCTTACTGTGGACAGTCTCCAGTTGCACTGTCTGTGGCAGCTTTTAAGGGCAATTTTAATATCAATAGCTGGGAGCAGCCTGTGCTACCTTCCTGATGCAGGCTTGAAAGTTATGTCCCACGCTTTCTGTTGCTGCACTTTCTATTCCTAAGTGTGGAAGAATGTAAAGAGATTTCCCAGACACATGTGAGAGATATTAAGAAACATAGAGGATCTGTGAGCACCTCCTGGAGAAAGCGAGAGAAGAAAATATATGATTCTAATGGGAAAATTTCAGGACATTGATGGATGGTATCACATAGCCTAGGCTTATCCTGGTATCTGGTCTTCAGGTATGCGTTCTGCCTGCACCAGGGTTAGATGTTGGGGCAAGACCTGGCATGTAAACCTCAGTGTGTGTGTGTGTGTGCGTGCATGCGTGTGCCCTGCTTTCATTTGGGACATGCAGGTAGGCAAGGAATCCAGTGCAGAATCTTATTTGGCCCCTTATCTGGGCCAATAGAGGAAAAGGACTGAGGGGAGAACTTGTGGATGTTTAGCAGTTTGTCTTTGTGGTGAGTCCCACGCTTTCTGTTGCTGCACTTTCTATTCCTAAGCGTGGAAGAATGTAAAAAGATTTCCCAGACACACGTGAGAGATATTAAGAAACATTGAGGATCTGTGAGCACCTCCTGGAGAAAGCGAGAGAAGAAAATATATGATTCTAATGGGAAAATTTCAGGACATTGATGGATGGTATCACATAGCCTAGGCTTATCCTGGTATCTGGTCTTTAGGTATGCGTTCTGCCTGCACTGGGGTTAGATGTTGGGGCAAGACCTGGCATGTAAACCTCAGTGTGTGTGTGTGTGCGTGCATGCGTGTGCCCTGCTTTCATTTGGGACATGCAGGTAGGCAAGGAATCCAGTGCAGAATCTTATTGGGCCCCTTATCTGGGCTGATAGAGGAAAAGGACTGAGGGGAGAACTTGTGGATTTTTACCAGTTTGTCTTTGTAGTGATTTTCTCAGAAATAAGCCGTACTCCTGTGTATAATGTTTTCTCAACATGTCCTTTAAAGCTGAATTAATATTAGCCTTGTGTCTTGTCTGGGGTTGGTCCCATGAGATGATGCCATCTGACCTGTATCTGCTCCTCCTGTGGCTGATGCTGGGCCTGGAGATGAAGGGGAATGGTGCTGGAAATACAAACACTGTTGTACATCCCCCTAGAGCTCCTGCATATGCCCTGCCCCATGGACTGCTCTCCTGTGGGAGGAGATGTTCCCACAGGTGGTGGCCCTCCAGAGGTACCCAGCCTTGGAGGGTGGAACAGTTTCTCAGAAATAAGCCGTACTCCTGTGTATAATGTTTTCTCAACATGTCCTTTAAAGCTGAATTAATATTAGCCTTGTGTCTTGTCTGGGGTTGGTCCCATGAGATGATGCCATCTGACCTGTATCTGCTCCTCCTGTGGCTGATGCTGGGCCTGGAGATGAAGGGGAATGGTGCTGGAAATACAAACACTGTTGTACATCCCCCTAGAGCTCCTGCATATGCCCTGCCCCATGGACTGCTCTCCTGTGGGAGGAGATGTTCCCACAGGTGGCCACCCTCCAGAAGTGCCCAGCCTTGGAGGGTGGAATGGGAAGAGGTTGAACATACAGCTCCAGTCCATTTATCTCTTTGAGAGGGGTTGGTGCCTCCATCTTAGCTGACAGTGGAGAAGCTTAACAGCTCAGCTGATGCAAAGCCTCACGTAGGGTTGTATTTTCCCATCCCACAGAGAGCAGACCATCCTGCTCTCCCACGTGGTAAAGGAGGCAGCTTCCGGGGCTATCATGACTAAGTCCCAGTGTGCCTTGAAAAAGGTGGCATTTTCTTTCTCAGACAGATAGTGAAGTTCAAAGTTACTATGTGCAGACTGTGAATGTTTATTCTATTGATTTCTCTAGACTGACCTATGTTCAGCTGTGATTTGGTGCTGCAATACTTTGAGGATGACTGTTCCTGTTCAAAATAGTGCAGAGCTATTTCCTAGCCTGGCTCTTGGACTCTCGAGGAGGACCATGAACTGAGGCTGTGTGCCCTGATGAGAGTCAGAATTTGCAGAAATAGTATGATAGTTCTCAGGGATGACTTTATTGAAATATTTCTGAAATCAAATGGACGACTAGCTTGATGGAAGGTTGAACTACGTGGCAGTGCTGATTAAATGAAATATCTTTCTCTTTTCTTCACCCTGGTCCAGGCCTTTAAAAAGAGGTGTTATTTGCTTGGCTCTGGTGAGAAATAACCTGTGAAGAAAGGCTTGAGGGTGACCTGCTCTAAGCTGTACCCTACCTGAGCTGAGGGAGCCCTTTGCTCTGAAACATATATGCAGTGTGGAGAGTTAGGACACATCTCAACTTCCGTTGGCAGCTCCTCCTCAGATTGCAATGCCCCCTCTCCCTGGAGGCATTTTGAGAGGCAGAACATGGGAGCTTCCCTGCAGTCTCCTCCCTTGCTGTTACCAGAGGCAAGGACCTGTGCCAAATGACAGGCGAGGCGTCTTAATCGCTTAGCTTGTTTATTATTCATGGTTAAATATATATCATATCCTTCAGCTGCTGTAGAGTCAAAGCGTTATAAAGCAAATGGTCTTCTTTCTGCTACTTCCCTCCAGAGTATGAAGCACAATTGTAATGCATACTGCTCTCTTCTGGACAAAGTACAAAGCCTAAAATGTAATTGCTTCTATCTGTCCACCTCCACATGCATTTTGTTTTTATTCCAGGTACATAAATCTCTGCCCCTTGAGGTTCTTCAGCAGATAGATGCTGGTCTGATTAAAGTGTTGGTAACGGGTATTACTAATGGGAGCACGGTGGTAAGTTTCAATTTACTGATTGCAGAAGATGTGGATATCTACTACATCATCACCACTTTTCGTGATGCCTTTGAACACAGCTCCTATTTCACGGTTGACAAGAGCAGTCTCTCCATAAATGGTAAGGAGCAGATATATCTCAATAGTTCTTCAGAACTAGAAAGATGATAAAGCCTGATTTTAATCTGTATTTTTTGAGGTGAAAGTATCTGTAAAACAGATGGATGAAAAGCCATTCTCAGACTCCTGATCCAAAAGGAAAAAACCAACCGGTCTTTTTGTCTATAGCTAGCATTAATGTTATGGAGAAGAAGATACGGAGATGTTAGAAACAGTGGTCACAAATTGAGGATTTTATAAGCCACCAGTGGAAACAGGTCCCTGTACACAGTCATAACTAGCTCTGTCTAAAATAAGTTTGAAACATGTTACCCTCTGCTTTGCACTGATAATTTTGCATGAGATAGAAACCTCAAGAAACAAATAAATGAACATGTGAATTCTTCTTCACTGGGAGTATGTGCTTTCCTCACCAATCTGTGGGTCACGAGTTCAGATGAAAGTCCACACTTTACCAAGGCCAGCACAATGGCTGATTGTACAGCTTTTTTTCCCTTATATGTAATTTAAGTAAGTCAGTAACAAGAAACGCTAGTCTCCTGACTAACAGCTGTTGAGTTCTGTTTCACAAGTTCATGTGTCATCTCTGAAAAAAATACCAAATTCTATATCCTTAACATAATACATTTGTTCAAAGAATATTATGATAAGCTGTCAGTTAGAATCTCACGCAAAATGACTTCAGACACATGTATTCGGGCTGCCCTGTGCGTTCTCTTTGCCTCTTCCCCTCACAGCTGTGAATCTGGAAAGTTACATATCCTGATAATTATTAAGATCATGCCTATCTTGTGATAGTGCTTTGTAGAGTGCCTGCCCCCCTCGAGCCTGTGCTAAAACAAATGGTTTGGTTCAGGAACAAGTCCCCATACAGCAGGTGGTTAGTGCTGCTTTCTGAGTCCTACTTACGGTGGTACACCCTTATTCGCACAGTTGCAATTAGATCTGGAGAAGAGAAAGGGATGTAAAATTTATTTTTCATTTCAAAAGTGAAAATTTTGGCCACCTAAAAAGTAACAAAGCAACTAGACTGCAAATTGGACCAGTCACACAACCCTCCTGCTTCACACATGCTGGGCATTTACTAACCGTCTCCTCAGGAATGTGGAATGGGGGAGGCAGCTGAGAAAATCCTTGGGATTAGAAGTGTCCCCTTGACCTATTGATCAGTTTAGGAGGACAGGAGCTCTGAAGCAGGTTGCTTACATTTCAGTGAGTATCTGCTGAGCATTGTTGGTAGCACAGCTCCTGGAGGGTTTTGTCAATGCCTTGCAATTAGCCATCAAGGCCATCCTTCCAGTATCCCACCTCTTCTAGACCCAGAAGCTGCCTGACACATACAGTAGAGTATCACACCTAAGAGGTGTAATCCCACCATGATATCATGGTGATAGGACCGTGCTCCGGTTTCAGAACCATCATATTTTCATTTAGATGCTCTCCACCTTTGTCTTTTGCTTAAATATACCCAACAGATTACGATGAGTGCAAAAGCGAAGAAGACGACTGCTCCCCAGATGCATCATGCCATAACACACTTGGGTTTTACCAGTGCAGCTGCAATGAAGGATTTGCTGATGTGCATCCAGAAAGGCCTGGAAGAAGCTGTGAAGGCAAAAATATATTTTTCTAATCAAATGGCTAACTGCATGCTTAGTGACTGGATCATGGTCACACTTGCCACAGGTCTTGAAATTTTGCCAGGGATGAATTTGGTTCATTGTTTTCAGCTGGATCCTAATGGGAAAAGTCTTCCAGTGGACTTTAAGTATTTCTGACTGTAATACCCTGCTATGAGAGTTTACTGTATTAATATTTAATGTTCCCTTTGTGAGATTCTTTTAAGAATTCTGTTTCCTCATATTTACCATTAAAATTAGATAGGACTGTGAAGATTGTCAGTTATTTTCATTAGCAGTATCAGAGGTGACAGCAGAGATAATAGAGAAGATAACAGAAAGCACTAGGTACATGGTTTGACCTCTGTATGGCAAAGGGCTTGAAGTATTGGTATTCAAACTACTTTTTTGCATGAGTCAATTCATCTAGCTTCTCTATTTCCTTAAATCATTCATTAGCTGATGTACTATGGGTCTTTAAGCTCCTAAATTCTTTTAGGCTTCTTCAGCCGTTTATATTTGTTTTTGTAACCACAGTGATAAGCTACTCTTTGGCTGAAGTCACAAGGATTTGTCAATTGATACCAACCTTTGCTCAGTTTTGTTTAACCAAGATGTTTAGCATAATGAGCTTTTGGGAGATTCAGCTATGAAAGAGCTCAGACTTTTTTTTTTCTTCCTCAACATTCAAATCAGCACCTTTTCAATTTGGGGCATATCCAAAAGACGGGGTGTTCCAGAAGGAGATATATATATATGTACAGATTTTGTATATGGGAAATAGGTGCTATTTGTATGTACACCCCATTAAAATTGTTTAAGATAATTTTTTATGTGATGAGACACATCCATTGTGTTTCACTACAAATGGAAGTTTATAATCTTGGTGCTCTTTAGGTCAGTGGTGGATTTCTACCAGCAAAGAGCCATCGGGTAACCCCAGAGCCCGTGCTGGATGCTGGGTGTTTGACATACACACATTCAACCTGTGCTTTCCCTTTTACCTCACTTGCTTTCTTCCTGAAACCATTAAAAATTGCAACTAACATGTTTGTTCAGCTCCCCACTGTGTCTCTCAGGACATGGATATGCAAATTGCTACATGAGGTTTGTCCTGCACTTCCCCCAAAATGGGTTTTCCAGAATGCTCAGGGTCATATCTTTTGGGTACCAACAGGTCACAAATGGGGCCAGGGTTTTTAATAAGCTCTGCTCCTGTTTTTACCCCACATTCAGAAGCATGCAATTTCCTACAGTACTAGGCAAAAAAAATATGAACACTTTCTGGTAACTTACAACTGGGGATCTCTTGCAAACATTGATCTTCCAAAAGCTATATATATGTGTTTTACTTGACCACATTAATTATTGCCACTCTCAGGAAATAAGCTTTACTCACAGGCACTTTATGTATCTCTTGCTCTTTCTCAAAAAAAAGCCACAGCTTGGCAGCAAGTAGAGCAGATTGAAAAAACAAAAGCAGCTGGTTTCCTGCCAGGAACTGAGATTTTCTTCCTAAGGGTTTGCTCTTACCTTATAAAATAATTTTTAATCTGTAAATTACAACAGTACCTTTATTTTTGGTATTTCTTCAGCATTTCCTATGAGCCAAGAGGCAACACCGATGGATAAGAAACCTGTACACAACACAGTTTTACCTGTGACATCTTTGCAAACCTCAACTCATGTTTCCTCCCCTGCTTCGTTGGACTTCTCTACTGTGGAGCACAAAGCATTGGAGAACAGCACATTGTCCAGCGTGGGGCTCTCTCCTCTTCCCACGGATCCTGTGTCAACTCCCGATGTTTCTCCTCAAGCATCTCCTGTCCCACTCGTTAAACCTGCCCAGGAGGTTTCCATTAAAGATGCGGTGAGAGTGTTCTGTGAAATTGAGAAGATCGTCCTTGCTGTCCAGAAGAGCTTTTTACAGCAGGAGTCTATCCCCGAAACCTCCCTGTACCTGGGGGAGCCTCGCTGCAACGTGAGCATCAGCAACAGCACTCACATTGTGCTGCAGGCAGGCTGGAGTGACTGCGGCACTGAAGTTGAGACTGTAAGTCCCTTGAATGCCCCTAAGAATTTTGGTTTGGTCTTGGGGGTGAGGTGAGGAGGGGCAATGGCAGATCCCTACTAGACATAGTCTATTAGTTTCTGAAATGTTGGACAAAGAAATTTATTCGGAGAAAGAAAACCCCTTCCTGCGAGTGGAAAGCTACCTCATTGTTTGGGAAGGAGGGCAAGCAAAAAAGAGAAGGGGAATTTTTGCGGTCAGACAGGAAAACTCAAGGGCTTCTCCAAACTGAGAGTCACTTCCCATGTCTCTCTAAGCTCCCTCTGCAGCTATTAGAAGCTTCTCTTTTCTTAAAAGCAATTTCATCATCATCATCTACAGACAAATACCCAAATTGGTACTAGTAATGGGGACAAAGAGCAATAACTATCTCTTTGGATCCCTACACTATGCTCAGGTCATGGCAAAGTACAGAAATTCCCTTGTGGAGCAGACTGAGGAAGAGGAGGAAGTCGGATGGATTTTCATTGTCTCACTCTACAACAAATAAAATACTAGAGGTTCAATCTGTTTGATTTTCGCATCCAGGAGAATGGAGAATTCCTAAACTGGTAAGTATGTAGTCTGTTATATCCCTAGATACACTGATGTTCACAAGTTGTGCTTTCTTCTTTCTGTGTCCCAGAACATGACTAACACCGTAGTGAAAACCATCCTTCGGAATGACGTTTCTGCTCAGGGAGTAATCCACCACTTAAAAGTTGCCAGTCCCATTCACTGTGTGTTTCAAAACGATCTCTTGACTTCCTCTGGATACACTGCAGAAGGGTACGTAGCTCTCTCTGCTTTGAAATGCTGTTGTGTGGCTGAGTGCTGCTGCATCCCAGAAATTCCCCGGGGCCCTTAGCTGTATCCAGCAACAGTACTCGCTCTGCCACGTAGTCTGCCGTCCTGCGAGTCCTGTGCTCAGGTGATCCCTGCTGTGGCATTCTCTCCTGCTCCATGTAATGTGTCAATAGATCTCACAGCCAACAAGATTGGCCATTGCCTGGCTAAACCACAGATGGAAATAAACATTTGGGAGCTACTGGTGCAGGTCTGAGAGACAGAATTCCTGACCCCTCTTTGCCTTCCTGGGCAACCACATGTAGCAATAACACTGTTTTCCTGCTTCCTACTGTTCACATCAAACCCATGCTCACTGAAAAGGTGGCAGCACAAGCTTTGCTCTGATGGTGAATGTTTTTCCTTCGTACAAGTGCACCTCCTCTCTCTCGCCTAACAGCATGCTTAAGCTATCATCATCAAATCCACTTTCTGCTTTCCAATCCCCCAGACATTATATTTTCCATTCTATCTCCCTGCAAAGTCTGTGTTCAGCTCCTGCTCTCTGAGCCCTATGGTTTTCACATGTCCCTCACTTACTGTTCAGGTTTGTCCTTCCTTAATTTTTTTGGCTCTGCTCTTCACTAAACTTTTAGTCTCCTTATATTTAACTTTAAGACAACTCATAGTCTTGTTCTCCTTCAGGTCCACTCAAATACCAATCTCTGCTCTATTCGTATTGCCAAGACATTCTACCCTTTGGCTTTTTGCACTTGTATTTCCATCCTCCCTTCCCAATGAAAAATAGGATATATTTTTTCTCTTTCCTCTTGAATGGTGTTCCAATGTCCTGGGCTACAGATAACTCTTCATGACTTAGGTGTGCAAGAGGTGGAGAAATAGGCACTGATTTATAGAAACATGCAGTCAAATTTGTGGTCTTTAAAGGACGTTAATTGTTGTTTCAGACTTTACACCATCTTTGAGGATTTGCATGGATCTGGACACTTCAGAACAGAAATGCAGTTGTTTATTGGTAACTCCCCAATACCACAAAATTTCAGTGTCTCTGCCAGTGATGATGTACTAATTGAAGTGGGGATCCAGAGAGCAGACAGCAAGCTCAAGGTGGTCCTCACTGACTGCTGGGCGACTCCAACTAACAATTCAGTGGATCCTCTCTCATTCTCTTTTATCAGCAACAGGTACAGCAATGCCACTTGCAAATAGCATGTGCCATACCTTAGGTCTTCCGGTGGTGCTAAGTACTAATGTGTTATATTTTAAATGCCTTTTTTGTGTGTTCTCATCATTCATATACACTGTCCCTTACCATTCTGGTAACTGGTAACATTCTGGACCAGTTACACTGTTTCTTACCATTCTGGTAACTGGTAACATTCTGGTAACATTCTGGACCGGTTACACCGTTCTTGAACAAGGAAGGTAGGTATGAAAAGAAAATGTTTTCAAAGGTTAACAAAGTAGTTGTTTGAGTTTGATTGCCTCCACCATAGTGTTGCAAAGGAATAGTATTTTGACCTGATGCCTCCACCATAGTGTTGCAAAGGAATAGTGGGGAAATAGGTGGTTTTGTCAGTCAGTAGTGAAAGAACATTGAAAAGCGTGTGCTTTTTATCTGTGGCTCAGATATTACCAAGAACTTATTTGACTTTCATTGATGAAGGTGTAGGTTAGTTAATTCCTATGTTTTGTGACTCACCAACAATATTAATTCAGCCTCTGGTAAAAGAGGAGTTTGTTCCTGTCTGGATCCCTGATCTCGCCCTGATGTCGTATTCTGTGGGCTCACCTGTCACCTTAAAATAAGGGATTGTCCTTTTGCTCAGTAGCAAAAGCTATTCCTTTTAATATGATTTCTTTCACTTTGTAGTTGGTGAAGCCAAGTTTAACCCGTTCTTTCTGTTTCTCTCTCTCTCCTTTTCCAACTTTCCAACCACTTCTCAAAAATCCTGTTCTATTTGGATCCTGTGAGAATAAAGCAGCAAATAGCCCCTTATCACCCCTGCACTGCTGGAGAGCTGCTTCACGGTGGGACTGGCTATGGCTTTCTAAGGGAGCCTTACAAGCTGAGCTACGTGCTGTAACCACAACATACCTTCTATAGCTCTAGCTGCTATGTATGGGTTTTTTTTCTTCCTTTACAGCTGTCCCATCCCGAATACATTCACCACACTGCTAGAGAATGGGAATTCAAGCAAAGCGCAGTTTAAGATGAAAATTTTTTCCTTTGTCAACAATTCTGTGGTTTACCTACATTGCAAAATACGTATTTGTATGGAGACACCAGGAAGCACCTGCAGGACAGTAAGTGTTTTGCTTCGATATGCTTTTTTTTCCCCAACATGCCATATGCAATCCTGCTGGGGAATTGAACATATTTTAAACCAAACATGGTTTAAAATAGCTCTTGAAGTTTTCCTTCATTCTCTGCTGAGAGCAAAGAGGAGTGGGGGAAGAACTACAGCCATATGGAAGCGTCTACCTTTCTTCCTGTCCCTCATCCTCACAGTTAAAAGCACAGAGCTTGCACAGAAACAGGGAAATCAAAGCTGGGGAACCTGAGACCTAAACCTTTCACCTCTGCATGGGGGCAGCGAGAAGGTGAAGTCACAACCATGAGACAGGCTGTTTGGAAACCTGTCAGTTCAGATGAACATGTCACAGAAAAGTGAGCACCTGTATTGGCAGCGTCAGCAGGAAAGTCTGAGTGAATTGATTTGGGATGTTTTTCTGTCCTTTTTTTTCCCCTTGAGATTTGCTTCTCCAGATGAAAGTTTAGGTGCCAGCAAAGGAAGCTCGATGGCATGAAGTTTCTAGGGCTGTGACTCTATCAGAGTTTATTCGGCTTTAAAAAACCCTAATGCTTTTTAAAGTGATAAACCAAGCAATGTTCTGATAACAACTTCAGTCTCTAACTGTCTCTGTTCCAAAGCATTACTGTGTTTCTTTTTACTTCGAAGTAAGTGATACACACTGCTTCATCTGAGTTGTCACCATAGAAATAAGAAAAAATAGGTTTTGCTGATGGCTTTTTTTTTTCCTCGTTATTAGCAGACACACAGGAATTCTGTCCCTCTGCCAACCTTCCTGGCTCTTTTTCTATCAAGGATGTTTTCATTAGCAGTTTGGTGTTGCTCCATTGTTTAACACTTTCCTCTAGCTCTAAATAACTCAGTTTAAGCCCATTATAAAGCAAATGATCTCTTCCTAAAAGATTAAAAATGGCTAGCAGAAGATCTTTGTTTCCTTTCTCAAGTATAAAGCTTCCTCCAGATTAAAAAAAAAAAGAAAAAGGTAGAGACAGGAAACACAACTGACAGATGGAAAGATGGCTCCAGTTTTCACAGCTGAATATGCGTGTTAAAAATCAGTGCTTCAGCAGCCCCGAGCTTATGCCATCCTTTGGAGGAGGTGATGCCCTCCACAAGTCCACTGTGTGTTCTGCACAGCTAAGGAGGGACATGTTGGTGGGTGCAAGGCAGGGGAATAAGAGGTATGAGCAGGACAGGGACCGCGTGGGCTGGTGTGGCTGCTGCAAGGAATCAGTTGCTTTGCTATGAGCTGCTGGGTTTGCTGTTAGAGCGGGCTTTAGCTCTATGGATTAGAGTGTAGGGACATGGTTACCTAAAGGACTGGCTTTTATCTATGTTACAGGGGTCTGGGAGGGGGTAATTCTGACAGCTCACATTGAGGTTTGATTGAGATTGACATCTGCAGTAAACAAGGCACAGCAGGGTTAATCAGTGAGGCCCCCTTCTTTCATATATTTTATATATATTCATATATATGTATGAGATTTATTGTTCTTTCTCCTATGCAAAATTTACCCCCTATGAAAAGTTAGTGAATTCAGTACCTTAGATTGCGATTAAAATGTTTTGTGGAGAAGACAAGTACTAGGCACATCTACAAAGGATGACAGTGGATTTTACAAAGAAGGGAAGGGGAGCTGCAGGAGGTGCAAAGATCAAGGAAAACTGGAGCAAGAACAGAGTATACTTGGAAATAATATAGGATGTCTGGGAAAGTGCCCAGGGTCTGGGATCTGATTCTCTGATCTGTCTGTTACTCTGGAGAATACTGACTTGCTCCAGGGCAGATTTGCTTCAGCACTTTTCTCACCAAATTGATTCTTATATCTTGTATTATTTTTTCTTCCCCAGCCTTTTTATTCATTGTGTTCTTGGCAGAAGAGAGTAAGGTGCTCTAAAGTTTGGAGCAGAAAAAATAGGCCGGGGAGCAGTGTAGTAAGAAATGAGTAAGAAACATGATTTTGAATGGGAAGAGGAGCAATACGCCACCACCATGCACATGTTTGGTGGAATGTGGCAGCTCCACAGCCACATGGAACCAAAAATTTGACATCAGGGAGCAGCTATGTAACCATATCCTCTAACAGATCCACCTAGCTGGGAGAACTATTCAAGGGTAGGCCACAGTTGCAGCTCCCCATGTATTTTTCTGGGGGCTGACCAGGCAGAAGACACTGTTGCTGACAGTAGCTTGTAGAGGTTTTTCAGCGTAACCAAGCTGTTTACTTGTGTAGACAAGCTGGTAAGACACCCTGGCACTTCCCTGCTTTCTTCTGCTGATTATAGTATTGTGCTGCGGTTTCCTTGTTTTGATGTGCAATTCAAGGAAAGCCCCAGTATCTTTTGAATAACCTCAGCAGGCCGCGGTTCCCATCAGAGACCTGATGAAAGAGGTGGTAGCAAACAAAAAGGTAGCAAACAAACGGAACCATCCTCCCGAGGGAGTGTGCAGAAGATGGGTGTGCTTGTGTATTCTGCAAGTGCTACTCAGGCAAAGCTAAAGCAGCTAATCCCCAGCATTTTGCGGGGCAGGGCTTGGGCTTTCAGACTAGTAGTTCCCAGATTGGTAGTTGACACGTCACTGAAGCGTTGTGCGCTGCTTCAAAATGACACACACAGCTTGGCAGGGGGAAAAAGTGGCCACTGCTTGTGCTGGTGCTGGTTGTAGTATCTGCTGTGCCTGCCACGGGCAGCAGAAACAGCCAAACGAAAATGGTTGCACAACCCCGGCATGTGGAAATAACGAGAAGTTTATTCTCCCATAAGGTTTCTCCAAAACAAACAGAACCTTAATGAAAGGAAAGACATCGTCTGTGTGAAATGCCTTCTCACAGCATTGTTTTCCAGTGTGACTAATTGCAGATTTTATACTGATGTTTCCCTAATGCCATTTCTTTTGCACTTCCTGCTGATTTCAGTTTAACAAACCATAACATTAAGAAGTGAAAACCCTTATGAGTGAGCACTGGGTTTTCACATACTCATCAGAAAGCTTTGTATTTTTAATCACTAAGCCATATGACTTGTTGGAGTTTGAATTGATTGTTGCAGAGATGCCACGCAGTTCGATCCCTGAAGACTGGTGAAACCATCGCTATGCACAGAACCTCCTGGGGACCCCTGTGTAGATCAGCTGGTGAGTTATGAATAGAGGCTTACCAAAAGGGGACACAGAGTAACCACCATTTTGAGATTCTTTTTCACCGACAAAGGAACCTGAAGACCTGTGATACAAGGTTTGCAGGCCCCTCTGCATATTTTTCTGAGAAGCAGGTGTTCTTACTGAAGCCATGCGGCAGTGTGGGAAAGCACGTGGCCTCCTTGGTGAAGTGACCATCAGATTGCCAAGGGAATGTAGAAAGGGAGAGGTGTATAAAGTGCTTCGTGTAGCTATTTGCACAGGGCAGCAAGTACAACAGCCACAAAATCAAAGTTATTACAATTATAAAGTGTGAAAGCAGCTTGGATCTTTTGGATTGCAATCAGTTTTTCAAGTGTTTACACTGTTGTTAGACCGCAATTATATTGAGCTCTGAAGTCCAAAATCAGAGGAGATAAGAGATTGCGTTGTCGTGCGTCCTTAGACTCCCTTCTGTTGATTTTGTTACTGCCATGAGGGAAGGTGGCAGAGCCTCGCTGCTGCTCTGCTCTGTGGTTAATCCAGTGGAGTGGTACAGTCAGGTTACTGGAGAGTGAACACCAACACTGTGTACAAACAAGTTGTAATATGTTATGTATCTGCCTCTTCTGTATTTACCCTGAGTAATGGTTTCAAGGACAACTGTGGCCTCCAACATTTTCAGTCATTTGGCCTCCTCCAGCCTCCTCGTATCTTATTACTGTCAAACGCCTATTGAGAGTGTTTGTACACAGCAACATCGAAGTTTTAACACATGGCTACTATGAATAGACAGAAGTCACCCCCTTTCTTCCTGCTAGTTGCTTGTTTTCCCAGTCACTTAATGCTGTTTTGGCTGTGAGGATAAGTTAACTCTGGACTGTTAAAGGATTCAGGGTATTTTATCTCCTCTGCTGTGATGGTCATGATGTTCTTTCAGAACTTGAAACAGGCTCTGACTTAGCATATTGTATTTTTCTTCTATTTTATGCAAGTATTAGTCTGCTAGAATAGGCCTTCGGTGCTCATTTCTGAATTAGTTCTTTTTTAAAACTTAGCAATTAATACATCTTTCTTCGTACAGCACTTACTTATATCAAGTAGATCTCACTTCCATTTTCACTGGAGATCCTGACACATTTGTAATATTGAAAAATACTCATAACATAAAAGGAACTCTGATGAGGGGAGCTTTATTTGAGTTGTGCTACGTCAATTCCTAGGCAAAGGTGGCACTACAAGATATTGTCTCCTATTTCCCAGTTGGATACTCACATTGTGTTTTAAGTGCGAGGCTAGACCTAGACAGCGACACACATCTCTGTGTGGAAAAAGACAACATGAATTATGTTTATGGGTCCAGAGAAGGGCAACGAAGCTGGTGAGGGGTCTGGAGCACAAGTCTTACGAGGAGAGGCTGAGGGAGCTGGGGTTGTTCAGTCTGGGGAAGAGGAGACTGAGGGGAGACCTTATCGCTCTGTACAAGTACCTGAAAGGAGGGTGTAGAGAGACGGGGGTCGGTCTCTTCTCCCAAGTTACAGATGATAGGACAAGGGGTAACGGCTTCAAGTTGCGCCAGGGGAAGTTCAGGTTGGATATTAGGAAACATTTCTTTACTGAAAGGGTTGTCAGGCATTGGAATGGACTGCCCAGGGAGGTGGTGGAGTCACCATCCCTGGAGGTATTTAAGAAACGTGTAGACATGGCTCTTCAGGGCATGCTCTAGTGCCCAAGATTATTGGTTTGTGGTGGGGTGCTGTGTGGGTGGGTGATGGTTTTGGTTTGGTTGTTGTTGTTGTTGTGTGTTTAGGTGGTGGGTGGGTTTTTTTTTGTTTTGGTTTGGTTTTTTTGTTTTGTTTTTTTTTTGTGGTTGGACTCGATGATCTCTGAGGTCCCTTCCAACCACTACGATTCTGTGATTCTGTGATTCTGTGTCAGGTAAGCTGCTGCAGTGAAACATGAAAAAAGCTTTAACTGCTGTGCCTATACTACTTGGCCACATGCTATAGCAAAAGCCACTGATACATGTCCTCAGGAAGGCCTGTTCTGTCTGTGTCTGGCTACAGGCTGCCATTTCTGCTGTGCATCTCTTGTATTCCTTTGTTTGACACTGAAATTCAGAAATAAGACTAAATCTGTTGTGCAACACTGCTTTGACCTGCCTTGGAATGATGCCCTGGAGGTTATACAGCTTGGACATCACTATTGCATACCTCTGTGGCTGCCAACAATGCCCTTTGGCCAAAGATCCCGTCTCTAATTACAGTCAGGCACGCATTAGTACTTGTCTTCTGTGCACCTCAAGTACTGCACAAGTGTTTGGTTAAATAAGTGCTGTCCTGAAAATGTACGCAAACAAATAAATGTGTTTGTAGGTGCAGCAGGCATTTACAAGAATGAATTGGAAGTGGGCAAGAGTACCTGTACAAACAGGAGTACAAAAGTATTCCCTACAAAAGTACCTGTACAAACAGGAATAGAGGCATAATGTTAAAGGGAGAGGGGATTCTGCTTGCAGATTTGTAAAAAATACATGGAGTTGTCCACATGTGAATGAGGCGAACACATTCTGTCAGTGGTCAGCGGAGCCCAGGGAGATAGCTGGCAACAAGGGAGTTGACTCTTGCCCACACATAGGCATTTATTGCTCATGACCCATGGTACCCCATTCTTTCCTTCACCTCAGTGTCTGCGTGCTATTCCAAAAGACTGCAGGTCTCCTGCAGGTCCCATGCCATGTCTGCCAGACTCTTGGGCTTCTTAGGTGGCACTAGATGCCTATGGTCAGGCTACAGAGTTGAGCCCACAGTGACCATTTCAGTGTGAGTCACTTACCTACTTCCACTGACTGCCCCAGCCAGATGTCTGCTGACTAGAATGGGCACTTAGAGACCCAGTGCACATAAGAATCTTTCCCCAAATACTTTGTGTTTAAAGAAGTGTTACATACAAGAGAAAAGCAAATCAAGAGATTTTTAATAAGCATAGATTAATGGGGGCAGGATTGAGATAGGAGAATGCTTCACCTCTAGGATCATTCTGAAACTAAGGCAACACTTCAAAAAGTCACCAGTGCTGGTCCTTTAATTCTTATTTCAACAGAAAATTGTGGAGTCAAATTCCAAGGACACATCACACTCATGTCTGCAGGGACTCTACACCTGTATGTAAAAAGCCAACTTGGACTGTGGCTCACAGACCTTTCCAGGAGAATCACCCTCCTCAAAAGGCTGATTCCTTTCTGTATCAGTTCTTCAGTGTGCATGCTGGCTAATTTGTAGGCAAAGATGGCTTCTTAACCCAGGAAAAGATTTAGGAATTTCAATGTTATTTTCTTTCACCTCTTGTCTTTTTTAGCATCTGATTTGAAGAGGGAGAAGGAGGCTGGGATGGGAGTTGGATACATCATTCTCATTGTTTTTGCTGTGTTTGGTTTTGTGGTGGGAGTTGTGAGCCTTCTCATTTTCCAGTACCAGCGAAAGATGGGAAGGTACAACTTCAGAATCAAGTCTGACAACTTCAGCTACCAAGTGTTCTATGATTAGTGATTTCCAGGTTACCGGATGTAAGTACTGCATCATGATCAGTTACTTTTTTTAAACTGTTTATCTCTTCCTGAAATGGTTAAATACTTGCAGATGAACATCCTCTGTTTAAAGGTATTTAAACCTGCTGTCCTGTTTGCTGTGGGTGAAGGTCATAGAAGTAAGAACGAAAGCCCTACTATTCTTGCCTGTTTTCAAATGCTGAAGACTACCGAGGAGGAAGGCAGCCTTCTCTTCATCTTCCTTCATGGCTTCAGTCTCAGTCAGAGTAAATGACACACCGTTTTAGAACACCAATAAACATTTCCACAAAAAGCATATCACTTTTGATTTTGGATCACGGATTAATACAATAAAGGAGAGAAACTTTACCACTCTCTTTATAGATCTGCTTCAGAAGCTAACTTGCTTCAGAAGCCATTCTTTTCTGCAAAAACTTCAGCTTAATTTTTTTTTGAGGGGTTGTTTTTCAAGAAAATAGTGGTATGTTAGACATAAAGAGCTTGAAATATTGATAATGCATAAGCAGTGCTTACAAGTGCTTGCAGAGAGTCTGAAAAGCCAGCTCTGAGGAGTGTTAACCGCTGCAACACATTCTGCCTCTGCAACTTGGGAATCTAACACTTTTCCCAAATGCCACAGGATTCAGCACTTTTTCTCTAAAATGAGTGTGTTCCAGCTGCTCCACCGCCATTTGTCCCTTTAAGAGGAGAAGAGATAGGTGAGAAAGCTGGCTTGCTGAAAAAGAACACCTAACATTGCCTCACAACTCAAGGATGTTTACTGCAGATCTGATGAATTCTGCACCTGGGAACGGGCTGATTTGACATTGTTACCAGAGTTAGTCAGTAACTCTTTCCTGATGGAGGCCTCATACATGACAAGGCAGCTGCCATGACCACAGTAAATTTACTAGACTCATCGTGATGGTATTTGCAGATAATGTAGTTTGCTTCACTGAGTACGATAACACTTAACATATATCACAGAGAAAGGTCAGGGGAGGCTGTAAACCTGCTTGTAAATTCTTGAATAGTGACTATTGCCTATAGTTCCCCTAGTCTCACATTGCAGAGACCACTCTCTGTAGTCCTCTGTGGGCAGCTCCTAGGAGATCACTGGAGGCAAGGGTGATGTTCTGATTGCTTCCCAAAGGCTGGCAGGGCTGCCTGATGGGAGCCCAAATGGAAGGGACCTGGGGGTCCTTGGTACAGCTCCAGCAGCTGTACAGTTCCATCATGATACAGGTCCCACTAGGGAGCCACAATCCAGCGTAAAGGGAATATCTAGGTCCATTAAATTAAAACCTCTATATGAAGACCCTGAGTCTCTGCACTGAGAGAAGAATGGCTTATCTTCATTCATCATTCTGCTCTCATGAATGGCCATGGGTGATTGCAACATTTGATAGTAATGGGAATTCTGGAGTTGTGCAATGGGGTTGTAGCATAAAGGATGTTCTCAGGCTCAGAACACTGATACATAATCAGCATGTTAGAGTCCCAGCTAATGGCTCCTTTTAGATGCTGGAGCTCAGCTCTTCTTTCCTATATATTTACTTTCTTTTACAGTTGATTAACTTTCTCAATCGTTATTAGTTTGTGGTTTTTTTTTTTCTAGTTGGATTACATCTCATCACATGGGGAACTGAAGCTTGTCTTCACTCAGCATTTGGCTTTCATTATTCTTCATGATGGTGGTCAGGACTGGTTGCAACACTGACTCTTCCAAATTAATGTCGGGTATGAAAAGTTTCTGTATCACGGTGTCCTAAGAACCATTTGCCACTGCAGCTCCAGATTGAAGTGAATTTTGGCAGCTTTTTCATGAATAAAATAGAAGGGAAAAAAGAAAGACTTCTTCATGGTTCTATATTCAAGTTCCAAGATTTGACTCTCCCACTGTGTCACGTTGCTATGTGCCCGTTTTACATCACCTATGCCATTACTTTTGACAAGCTGCATGTTTCTATAAATATTCCAGGAAGTAAATCAGCAAACCCTTAGAGAGATCTCCTTTTCAGTTTGTAATTCACTATTTACTTAAGGTGAGGTTGAAACTTTGAGTTGCAGCAATGTTGAAGACCTAGTAGTGCAACGCCTTAAGTATACAAAAGCTGGAGAATAAGGATTGGATTTGCCACCAAATAAAGAAAAAGTACCATGAATCTGCAGCTTAACCTACTCAGAGTGTTCTTCAGCATGCGTTTTGAGATTTGATAGTAAATTATTTAATCGATATGGACTTGGTGAAAAAAACAAACAAACAAACAAACAAAAAAAGAAGCTATTTTTGCTACTGGCAGCCCATGTTTTTCAGATAAGTCAATTGGTACCTATGTGTTTTGTTGAATTAGACCACAATGATTGTGCAGTGGAGCCACAGAGTGTGCTGCTCACCTAAGTAAGAGCACTTCAATTTCAACAGAGTAGTTATAAATTTGAGCTGAATTTTGCCTGGCTGCAAGACCCTAGCATTAATGCAGCAGGTTTAGCTTAGATGCTTCATTGGATACAGCAACAGTCTGTTCAGATGGATAAACTGGAACAAAAATCTTTTCCACACAGTAAGCACCTCCTGCAGGACTCTTGAGAGGCATTCTTCACTCTGCTGCCCCAAACCTCTGCTTCAGTGATCGTGTTAGAAGGCAGAGGGTAAAGCAGTTGGTAACTTGTCCCCACCAGCCCTTGGTTCTGATTGCTGCATGCACTCCCCTACACAGTGATAGCGTCTGCTGTGTCTGGGTTACATGTAATTCAGTAATTTATAGTGAACAAGCTAATTCCTCTTTAAGATCAATGGATGTCATTATAAACAACTCTTCAGTGGAAATTGGTCATTAGCTTGAACGCACAAATAGTCTGAGTAGCCATAGTAATTAGGTACTGATGTTTTGGTACAGAACAGCATTGTAAAGCTGCTTTTCTACCCCTCTAGTCCAATTTCTGGTAGGTAATAGGATTACTGGGTGAAGGACTTCTGCGTTTTGCAAAAGGTCATACTGATTGATCTTAGAGGTTATATACAAACCCTTTAAGTACACCAACATATTTCAGAACAATCATTTGCATTCTGCTTTTGGTTCAAGTGAATTTATAAAAAGTAAAAATCTTTGACTTGTCTTTTGCTTGCTGAAATATCAGTTACCAGATTCTGATATAAGAACAGATACATTTGGTAGTAATTCATTAGTGAAACGGTGAGTTACCTTTGCAATCTGATGAACATTAACCGTTACCTTTTTATTATGTAGGATTCTCTTCACTTTTGCTTAGTTTACTCTCAAATATATAATGTGTTTACCTTCTCACACAGTGAAAGGATAAGCTATTTTACTATAACTATTTTTCTAGTTTTTAGTACTTACCATCCTGAACTGCTTGAAAGTCACACAGTAGAGATTTGCCTATTGATTTCAGTGGAGCTAAGCCACTTACAAAGGCTGAGCATCAGTCTTCAGGATGAAATGCAAAGCAGTAGCTTGTATTTGATACCTTGCATGCTCAGAGGAAAATGTTGTTGTGACTGTCTGAGTCTGTTTAGTGGGTTTTTGGTGTCTTAATAAAAGCACTCTTGAAACCTATTGTTGACTTTTGTACTGTTATATTTTCCTTTTATGATTCAGTCACACATATTAAGATGTGCATTGTGTGGATGTGGCAGCCTCTGAAGAACTGTTCAAGTATCAGTGTAATGTTCAAACATCACTCAGAACACAATGCATGACCTTATCCAAACAGCAGTGGACTGCAATTACCAACAACCATGTACATACGCTTGCTAAGGGTCACTTTCTTCAACATTACAGAAGGCAAACGTGTTTTCAGTTGCATGCTTTGCAGAAAAGACAACCAAGAGTATTCGACATTCCCAGTCCAATAATGGTAGTGCAGCAACGTGGTGATCCCGGCTGAAACTAGTGTCACAGCAGCCTCCCAGGGCATTCAATTTGTGCAGTTCTGGCAGCTGCTCCAAGAGCAGCATATTCAGAGCTTATCCTCATGAAGCTTACCCTGGGGGCATTAGTGGACTTGACTGGACCCGAGTGTGAAAAGCAGGGAAGAGCACCAGCACTTGCTCCAAATGCTTCCTTTCTCATCCCTGTGCAGAAGTGTTGCACAGCTGTCACCCCTTTTTTTTATTTGTCCTTTTTTTTCTGTTCTATGTTTCCATGGCTAGCAATTGCTGTTTGCTCAGCACTGCGTCCCTTTTTATCCCCTCTTCATGCTGAGGCATAGAACAAATTGTTTAGTTGAGGTATCATAAAAGCACAGAATGGTTTGTGTTGGAAGGGATCTTTAAAGATCATTTAATCCAACCTCTCTGCCACGGGTAGGGACATCTTTCACTAGATTAGGTTGCTCACAGTCCCATCCAAACTTTATTCAAATTAAGTGGCCTTAACACTTCCAATGACTGGACATCCACAACTTCTCTATTCTGCTATTTCACCATCGCCACCTACTTTATATCCAATCTAAATCAAGCCTCTTTCAATTTAAAACCATTGTGCCTTGTCCTGTCACTGCAGGCCTTAGTAATAAGTCTCCCTCCATCTTTCTTATAAGCCCCTTTATATATTGGAAGGCTACAATAAGGTCTCCCCAGAGCTTTCTTTTCTCCAGGCTGAAAAACCCCATCTCTCAACCTTTCTTCACAGGAAAAATGTTCCAGGTCACCGATCATTTTTGTGGCCTTCTTCTGGACCCACTCCAATAGGTCCATGTCTTTCCTGTGCTGAGGACTCCAGAGCTGGATGCAGTACTCCAGGTGGGGGCTCATGAGAGCACAGTAGAGGGGGAGAATCACTTCCCTTGACCTGCTGGCCACACTCGTTTTACATACCAGGATACAATTGGCTTTCTGGGCTGCAAGCTCACATTGCTGGCTCATATCCAAATTTTCATCCATCAGTATCCCCAAGTCTTCTGCAAGGCTGCTTTCTATTCACTCATACCCACATCTTTATTGATATTGGGGATTGTCCTGACCCACTTGGCCTTGTTGGACTTCATGATGTTCACACGGGCCCACTCCTCAAGCCTATCAAGGTCTCTCAAGATGGCATTTCTTCCCTCGAGTGAATCAGCTGCACCACTCAGCTTGGTGTCATCTACAAACTCCCTGAGGGTGCCCTCAATCCCACTATCTATGTCAATGATGAAGAAATTAAATTGTATTGATCCCAGTACTGACTCTTGAGAGACATGACATCAGTTGTTACTGGCTTCCACTCAGACACTGAGCTATTGAATGTAACTCATTGGATACAACCATCCAGCCAATTTCTTATCTGTCTAACAGTCTATCTATCAAACCCATGTCTCTCCAATTTAGTGGCAAGAATATTGTGGGGGACCGTATCAAAGGCCTTACATAAGTCCAGGTAGATGACATCCTTAGCTCTTCCCTTGTTCACTGATACAGCCACTCCACTGTAGAAGGCCACTAGATTAGTCAGGTGCAATTTGCCTTTAGTGAAGCCACGTTGGTTGTCTCTAATCACCTCTCTGTCTTCCCTACATTTTGACATATCTTCCTGTAGAATCTATTTCATGATCTTACTGGGCATAGAACTGAGGCTGACTGGTCAGTAGTTCCTAGGGTCCTTTTTTCTCACCTTTTTTAAAAATGGGTGTGATGTTTCTCTTTCTCCAGTCACTGAGAACTTTGCCTGACTGCCATGTTTTTTTCAAATATGATGAAGAGTGCCTTGGCAACTACATCAGCCAGTTCCCTCAGGACTCTGGGATGCATCTTGTTGCGTCCTATGGACTTATGTATATTCAGGTTCCTCAGGTGGCCTTTAACCTGATCTTCACTTTCGACGGGAGGGAGTTCATTCTCGCAGCTCCTGCCTAAAGGTTCAGGAGCTTGACAGATGTGGGAAGACAGATTTATATTGAAAATTAAGGCAAAATATCATTGAGTACCTCAACCTCCTTCATGATTGTTGTCACTAGTTCTCCTGCCTTCTGAGCGGGAGCACTTTTTCTTTAATCTTCGTTTTCTGACCAACATGCCTATAGAAGCCCTTATTATTAGTCTTTGGATCCCTTGCCAAATTCAGCTCCAACTGTGCCTTAGCTTTCCTTATCCCATCTCTACACATCCAGGCAGCAACCCTTATTCTTTGTAGGATACACATCCCTCGTTCCACTGCCTGTGCATTTCCTTCTTACACTTTAGTTTGATCAGGAATGCTGGCTTTACTCAGCTGGTCTCCTGCCTTCCTTCCCTGATTTCTTATACATGAAGATAGAGAGCTCTTGTGCTATAAGAAATTTCCCCTAACGAGCTGCCAATGCTGTTCTGTTCCTTTATCGATGAGGGTAGTTTCCCATGGAGTCCTGTCCACTAATTCCTTAAACAACTGAAAGTTTGAGCTCCTGAAGTTTGGTATCCTGAACTCTACTCTTCACCTGGACCACATGCCTCAAGATTTTGAATTCCACCAGGGCATGATCACTGCAACCCAGTCTGCTGCCAATCTTGACATCTCTGTTTAGTCTGTCCATGTTGGTAAGCAACAGGTCTAGTAGTGCTTCTCCTCTGGTTGGGCTGTCTACCACCTGAACTAATTATCCTTGGTACACTCCAAGAGTGTCCTGGATTGCTTACAGCTTGCTGTGCTGCTTCTCCAGCAGATATCAGGGTGACTGAAGTCTCCAAGCAGGATCAGAGCCTGCAAGTGTGAAGTAAGAACATCCTGTCAATAGACTCCTCTTGGTCAGATGGCCTGTAGTAAACACCAGCCACAATGTTTCCTTTGTTGGCTTGGGTGCTAATTTTTACCAATGAGCTCTCGACCTGTTCAACACTGTTTTTCAAAGGCAACTCTCTGCAGTCAATGAATTTTTTTAAGAGAGGGCAACCCCCTCAACTCTCCTTCCTTGCCAGCCCCTTCTGACCATTTTTAAGCTATTGATTGCAGTGCTCCAGTCTTGCAATTCATTCCACCATGTTTCAGTGGTGATGATTAGATCATAGTTTGTTATCTGTGCAGTGGCTTCCAACTCCTCCTGTTTGTTATGCATGCTGTGTGCGTTGGTATAGGGGCACAAAAGTTGGGCTATTGATCAGGTCACCTTTTTAGAAGAACACACCCTAATTCCTTTTCAGCATTTCACAGGTGTTTCCTGTGAAAGAGGAAACGTATGAGTTGCTGAGGATGCCTCTCTCCCTGCTGTTTCACATGGAGTCCTGTCCACTGCTTCTCAGAGAAGGTTTGGTGGCTTTGGAGGGCTCATTTTAGACTGCTGTAGTCAGTTCCCCACAACAATGATCGAGCAATATTTCACCAAAAAAATGGTTCTGAGACCAAGCAGAAATCAGGAGGAGCAGCACTGACCATCTACCCTTTCCAGTCTGGTGCTGCCCACCTTTCTGCTAATGAAGCATTGGCTCTAGATAATTATTTGAGACAATGGCTGAAAAATGGGTAGAAATAAAATACTAGGATTTAGTTTTGACCTCTTACATCGTTTCCTAAGAGGCACTTTAAACCAGCGATATGCGTGCCTAATGTCCCTATTGTTCACTGAGAACACAACACTGCTGACACCTGATGCAAAACATTCATCGTTATTCCTTTCTCTCATATTATAAGGCTGCCAAACTCTGGTCCCAGCAGGGTTGGGAAAAAGCTGAGATAATTGGAAAATTTCCTTTTTCATTAAAATGTAAAGGAGCTGACTTTTTAATGCCTGTTTGGAAAGTTTTCTTGTAGGTTGCGGAAGGAAACAAGTTAAAGGAACTGAAAATTTTTGACTGCAATTAATTTAAAAACACGATGTTGGCTACAATCTAGTAGAAAGCCTAGAGCACAGAGCCGCCTAACGGCTTCTGCGATTTGCTCCATAACATCTACTCTGCCTGGGGTTCTGTCCTGCAAGGCTTGTGGCAAACCTATAACTGAGTAGTATCCTGTCTGTAGAGATACAACCTTTCTTCAAGACCTTTTTTTCTTCTTTTTTTTCTTTTTTTCTTTTTTTTTCTTCTTCTTTTTTTTTCTTTCCCCCCCCCCATATTTCTCTTCTCTCCTTGCACTTTCCTAATCCCAGCAGGCCCACTGGGGACAGTACTTCAGGCCACAGTTTTCAGGGAATCTCTGCCTGTTTATTCAACTCACATCCCTCTGGCTATGTGGACAGCTACCAACTGGTGTTAAAGACACTCTTGGGTACTTAGTCTGGATGTGATGCTGTCTGCCAGGGCGTAACACAGGAGAATTGTCAAAGCAACACCTTTCCGCATACAGCAAATTCCCCTGAAAGTGCTCTCTGCCTCTCCTGCCCTTCTTTCCCAAAACAGAGATTTTTCCTCTGACATCCAGAGAAAGAAGAGTTTCAGAGGCTTAACACAGATACAGAGACTTGTACACTAAAAACAATCATAACACCAGTATAATAGAGGAATCGAGAAAAGCCAGAACATTTGATGATGGCAAGGAAAGGAGCAGTAAAGGACCAAAACAATGAGGTTCAAATGCTGAGGTGTCAGT